ACCTACTTGAAACAAGCTTGGCAAAGCACAGGGACCGCGGTTCGATCCTCCAGCACCGCATGCCAGCCAGCCGCGCCCCCTGGTGGGCTGAGCTGCACACACACACACACACACACACACACACACACACACACACACAAAATAAATAAATGTTAAAAAAAGAAAAAATCTTCCAAACCTCGGAAAAATGTAAAAGTGAAAAAAGTTATGAATGAAGTTGGGGATGATGATCCCGAGGAGTGTGTCAGTACTGAAATTTCAGACCCCGAAGGATCTCAGAGGGCTGCTCAGACAGTTGCGGAGGACTCTGACTTTATCAGGGCAGGATGCAGAAGTTGTATTGGAACAAGACCAAAATCAAACGAAAACAAGAAGAAAGAAGAGCCAAGATGGGACAAATGAACAGGAAGTACAGAGTCTTTCAGGAAATGCTACTGTTGAGTCAGGGTCTTCTGAAGGAGGCAAGCAGAAGAATAATTGTCAGTCTTTAAAGCCTGAGGTGAATGAACGTGAATGCACTAAGAAACACACACTCTATTGCATACAGAACCTGGATGAGTGTGGATTTAGTCTCCAGTGAGAGATGAGGAGAGAGATGACCCCATCCTTTTGGCAAGGATTAGTTCATCTTTCTGGGCTTGAGATACTGAGCAAGCAACACCTGCCCTCATACGAACTCGACGAATGTATTTTTCACCCAAGAAATTCCGAATTTCGACGAGAGACCCATTCTCCTGAATAAAGATGTTGATGGGGAAGTGAGCATACACAGACCTCATCTTATAATGGAAGCCCAGTGTAACCCCCTTGATCATGTTCTGTACATGGCTACAGTTGCCAACTGTGGACAGTTGCCAACTCCTTTCTGTTTCCCCACCATTTGTCAACTGGGAGCCTCTTTTTCTTCCCAAGGAGACTAAGTTCCACATTGATGTGGTTGAAGTCCCTCCGCAGGGTTCCTCTGGGGCCCTTCACGATAATTGTGCGTCCTTTCAGAGTGATGTCAGCATTTTCTGGAATGTCGACTGTCTGATTGCTAAGAATGGTCTTCATTCTTGCGGGAGATGCAGCAAAGAGAGCTGTTTTTAATTTTTGATGTAATATACTTTTATCACTGAGTGTCCTCTGATACTGCTTTTTTTCTGATGTTTACTTTGCATTATGCTTGGTTAATGTTTATAATTTCTACAAAGATTTTTTTTCTCGTCTTTTTTTTTTTTTT